CTGTGCGCTCACCCCAGCAGATGTTTTTCTTTAGCAGGTTCCTTTGCCCTGTTTATTCTCAATTGCTCAGTCATTCGCACGAGGTCAAAGGCCTCTGTTTGGAGGATGTTGTGAGGGGGTGAGAGAGAGAGTGTGAGAGAGAGAGAGAGAGAGAGAGAGAGAGAGAGAGAGAGAGAGAGAGAGAGGTTGCTCTTTAGGCCAAAGGGTGCGGGGGCTAATGAGGAAGGAACAGGGAGTCATGCGCTTGTTCTCATACACGTAAAATTGCTTATGCGAGTTAAAGGGCAATCAAACTCTTCTTACACAATCCTCGATCAGTAGTCAGTGCATTACCGTATTTATAAATGCATAAGCCGCTGGAATGACGATGCAATAGGTCATTTTTGAATAACGGCAAAAGTGATCTTACGACAGTATGAAGACATCGTACAATTAGATGTTTGTGTAATCATCACATGCTATCTGCCCCCAACGTCTTTCCAAACCAAAGAACACGCGCTTCCTGCCGCACTGCTTCATTGCCACATATTGACCTCTGCTCTCCAAACCTTGCTCACCCGAGGGTTTGAACACACACACACACACACACACACACACACACACACACACACACACACACACACACACACACACACACACACACACAAACACACACTCACACACGCACACACACACAATTAGCTTGTGCAAATGTTTTCAGACGCTTGATCATCAAAAGGGCTTTTGTGTCAAGATAATAATATAAGTGGCTGCAGTGGAGCATGTCCGACTACCCACAGGCCTTCGACTGGTTTAACCTGTACAGTATGTCTGGACATAGTACAACCAGAGGGTGTGTGTGTGTGTGTGTGTGTGTGTGTGTGTGTGTGTGTGTGTGTGTGTGTGTGTGTGTGTGTGTGTGTGTGTATGTGTAGTACTCAGGTAAATGTTTCTTGCCGGCGTTTTGTGGACTCCCGACTGCGTTAAGAATGCGACATTTCCGCAAAACGAGCACCTGCATTCCTGACCCGCCGTTCAAAGAGCACACAGCAAAAACCACGCTTACATCTATTGCATTCAGCTCAACTTGAGAATAAACACAAAGCGACACTCGTCCGGCTGCCGTCACTCACACACAAAACCTGAGGCTAAAACAAATGCATAATGGGTGTAATATCAGAGACGATAAAAGAACAACAAAAGACACCGCAGCAGTCAATGTGAACTTTTTGGCCCGTAATCTCACCTAACCAAACTTGACCCAGAGGTCAATGGTCCGACAGCATAGCTACAATCAAAGAAAATTTGAGCATTTTCCTTCCCTCGCGATAAAAGTCAGGAAAGGCCAGATTCTCGGATGTGGCTGAAAGATTATCCTGGGTGATTAACCTGTGGTGTGTAATGTGTTAAGGAGAGTGTTTATTCCTCCCTAATCTTCCCCGACAGCAGTTGGGGCCGACAATCTAAAACGTAAAAAGTTTCCACACGCGAATGTGTGGTTAATAACACCGTGTTTGGTTGAGCCACGAACTCCGCGGTCGCCGAACACCAGCAGAGAAGCAAATGGTTGTGTTGAGTGTCAAAAATGATGTAATTACTGTATCAGTAAGCAAAGCTGCTGCTCTTTCTTCCTTTTCCCATTTCACAGCAGTCTGCACGTCCTAGTGGCGCCATCCTTCTTCTCACAGGTCAATCTTGGTACTACGCCAAACTTCTGCTTTGGCGCCTTGCGATTGTCTGAGGCGATACGGTTATGCATGCGGACTGATGTCTCAAGCAAGAACACAGTTTGTGATGTTTTCCTTATATTTTTTAAATCCGTTAAAAATAGGCGCGCTTTAACCGCTTAGCGGAGTTGAACAGCCGCTTAGTTCACAAATATGCTTCCCTTAAATCATCCTTTGCACGTGTACAGTGTAAATGATATTTTCCTTGATTCTCATAAAACAGATTCAAATGTAGGCTGACAAAGGTGAATATGGCACGCAGTCCACTATGCCTGAAACACAGCAGCTTAAAAGACAGAACTAATTCAGTTCGCAGCTTAGCTGCCCCTGATAACCTCTCGGCTAAACAAAAGGTCTACCCATGCAAAATGAGTCTCGCTGTGACAGATGTAGGTTAAAGTTACCTTATGTTCACTGTCCAAAGCCTCAATCAACCTTAGCCTTGTTGGAGGGAAGAACTACACCGTGTTGTGACAGCTTTACTTTTTAATACTTTTTAATGACAGGAGATTCTCTTTCGAAGTGAAGAATGTTGCTCTGACGGGAAAACGTTTCCCCATTCAGGCGACATTCCTGCATAACCATGTGATGAGAAAACTTTTCTTTGAAGCAGTGATGAATATTTTGGGATATACGTTTTTATGCCTTTGTTTTCATCGCATTTGGTTCGCCTTGTTGAAAAAAAGCACATCAAATTCAACAAACAAGAAGTGTCCAGTTGCCTCTGTCCAACCTTTATCACGACCTGGATCACTTTGAATCTAGAGAGATGAGTGAAGGGAACACCGCCCCCCCCCCCCCGCCCCCCACACACACACACACACACACACACACACACACACAATTTTCTTTTTTTTTTTAATTGATATTGTGGCACAAAGTTAAAAATGACTGAGGCCGTTATGATATGACGCTAACGATTTGGAATGTTTGCAAGTTTTTCTTGTTTATATTGCCCTCGCATGACTCTTGGAATGAGAGACGCATCGAAAATTCCCCATCGACCGCAACGACGACAAATGCGTTCCATGACAAGATTTCTTGCTCGTGTACTACACTTTGTTTTCTAAACAGTCACATAATATGCCTCCAGTTCTATTATTTACGAGCATGAAAAGCCAAACGTGATCAAATGACATCTTGTGGTTTGCTTACGTTTGGGGAAAATACAGGTACACAGTGTGGACACTTTGACCTTTTCCTTAGTTCCTTCATCGTTTATTTCCTAAAGTAAAACTTTCTGTGACGCCACATGAGGAACTTGTGACCAGCGGTGCCGCATGTGTAGGCAGGGTGTGTAGGGGGCCTTCCAGCCCCCTCGTGCGGAGCCGAATGAGTGTGAACGTGAATGTGAGCAGCAGGTGTGAAAAGAGGCCGTGGCCTTATCATATAACCTTTTCACAAGTTGCACTACAACAACAACAGGCCCTCCCTGATATTATTGGGTCAACAATGTCGCAGGAAGTCTTGAGGATTAGAGTGGAGTGGGGAACAAGAGTATGGGTGCCATGACGAGTCAACCCCATTCAAAGACCCCCCCCCAACGCCCACCACCACCTCAATCCACCCCCCTTCATCTTCTTTTGCTTTTGGCAGTGTTGGGGTTAACTCCTCCTGCTCTCTCCATGGCCCGAGGTCAGGGGGGAAACAGGCAGCCAGTCAGGCATTCTTTCTCTATGACTACGTGTGTGTGTGGGTGTGTGTGGGGGTGTGGGTGTGGGTGTGTGTGGGGGGGGGGTTGTTGGCTCACATCTGTCATGTCAGCTCAGTCTTGATTCTTCTGTCACAATTTAGCTTGCAGCAAAGCAGTGCCGCTGTGGCCCACTCTGTGCTCTTTGACTCTGTTGGCCTTATAAGGCATCCGGCGTCATGGCAACGGCGGGGCTTGAATAGCAGTGTCAAATCCCTGAGCACACAGACACACGCTTACTCTCCCTAAAGGGGGAGACCGAGCCGAGAGAGGCAGAGAGAGCCTGACTGAGGCTGAGAGGAGGCTGGGTGCTCTTCACAGAACGGTCTGCCTTCCACTGGAGCTCCGTGACCTGCTTTTTCCTGCTTCTTTGACTAATTTATTCCTATTGGAGGAGGAGGAGGAGGAGGAGGAGGGGGCAGAGAAAGGACGACACAGTGCAACAGTACACCCCGATTCCCTGGCAGGGAATGTGAAGAGGTTCTGGCCTATGCTTGTAACTGTTGGATGGACAGTGACTTAACAAGACGGGCAAGAAAAAAAAAGCGTCTCAAGGGAGGTCGACTTTGTTTTTCCATTTTTTTTTTTTTTTTTAATTGTCTTTGGACCTTTTAGCCTTTA